TCTAGGCGAGAATACTGGAGCAGGTTGCCATTTCCGTCTCCAGGGGATCTTCCTGGTCTACAGATTGAACCCACATCCCCCATGTCTCCTGCATTGCAGGCAGATTCTTTACCCACGGAGCCATCAGGGAAGCCCAGAGAGACCAACCCAAACACGGAAGGCCTGGCTTCTCTTGCCCCAGTCGTGCCTGCCTGCGAGAAGTTGGTTTGTGCCCATGTTGGGGTCCAGAGAGACCCCCTCCCCACCTCTGGGTGTGGGTTTGCCCTCCTGGGCTTCGTCCTGCTGACCCCCACAGGGGGACCTGTGCAGAGAGGGCGCGTTCATCCTTGAGCACCTTGGCACAGGTGGCCCTGCGCTGCCGGCCACTTGTCAGGGAGAGCGGGGTGCTGGGGACTGGGGCTGCACCCGTCCCAGATGCACCCCGGCCTGACAAGGTCTCGGGCCTGTGTCTGGGGGCAGGCAGATCTCCCAGGAGTAGGGACACAGATCGGTGCTCAGGGTCAGCAGGGGGTCCTAGGGGACCCTACATGCCACTGTCCCAGGGGCCCAGGGCAGCCCTCAGCCCAGAAAGTGGCATGAGATGAAGTCCCTCCTTCCTGGATCTTGGTCTGACCCTCTTTTCATCATTCTGGGATGACTGTGACCTGCTGACCCCTCTTTCCTACTTTTTTGGCTGCATTTAGCACAATTCTGATAAAACTGAGCAAAGCAAGTTAGTCAGCGAACGCCCTCAAAGGGACCTCAGCAGAGAAAGCCGGGAGGTCCGGGGGACCACTCAGTCCTCTCCCCACTCACTGCTTTTCTCAAAGCTTCTCCCTCAAGGTCGAGTTTTCCTCTTGGAGGCAGGGAGAGGCTGGGCCCCACCCCCTCCCGGTGCCTGTCAGCCTTCCCCCAGCACGGCCCATCTCTTCTGTGAAGCATCTATTTACAAAGCAGGTCACAAGCAGCGTGCACTGCCACCTAAAAATAGAAAGTCATTATGGAGCCGACAAGTGCCCGCGGGGTCCTGCGATCCCTGGGAGCTGGCAGCGCTCCGCGCCGTCCTCCTCTCCCCTCTGTGATCTTCCAGCCCCTTCCCGCCCAGCACCGCCCGCGTCTGTGGGACCTGCTGTCCCTTGGATTCTTTCCAGAACCCCCGCGAGGCCAGTGCTCTGGCCCATTTGTCCCTGGAGGGACCCAAGGCTTCGAGGGCCAGTGGGTGGTAGAGCTGAGAGAGGCCGTGGGTCCATCTCGGGCGGTTTGTCCATCACACCACGAGTACCACGTACACTGGCATCAAAAGAGACCCCGGGAAGTGTCGCCCCCGTCTGCCCTCCCCATCCTGGGAAGCCCACCCGGAGGCTGAGATGGGGACCCTGATGTGCCTCTTGCTTGGATTACCACCCCCTCCCCCGGCCCCCAGACCACCCTCACCTTAGCCCCATCCCCTAGTGTACGGAGAGCGTGTGCCTGGGCTGGGTGGAGACCTTCGGCCCTGGATCAAGAGCCAGCTCTCCAGGACAGAAGCAGGTGGTCTCTGGTACCTCTTGAGAAGGAAAGGAGACAGGAGCCTTGGGCATCAGCAAGGGCGAAGAGGGGCCTGAGGCCCCCAGCTCCTGCCTCCCTGGAGGCCCTGGGCAGCACAGCCAAGTAGGGAAGGGAGCATGTGCCTGGTTGAGAGAAGCCCCCGAGAATCAGGCTAGCTGGAGTGGGGAGGCTCCTGGACGGGAGGGTCAGCTTTCTGCATTAGGGCTCCAGCTCAGGTGGGGGCTTCCCAGGTGGCTCAGTGGTGAAGAGTCCGCCGGCCAATGCAGATGTGGGTTCCATCCCTGGGTCAGGAAGATCCCCTGGGGGAGGAAATGGCAACCTACTCCAGTGTTCTGCCTGGGAGATCTCATGGACCCAGGAGCCTGGTGGGCTACAGTCTACGGGGTCACAGAGTCAGACATGACTGAGCACTATGGAATCACACAGGAGGGGGCATTTCTCCTGTCACTTGTGGCCAGTGTGGCGGGGCCCCTCCTTTCTCACCTGCAGGGGCTGCTCTAGCTGACGGGAGGTGGAGGACGCCACTGACAGTGTCCTGGGCTGGGGTCCATCTGCTTGGGGGTCCCTTCTCCCTGACCCACCAGGAACCTGGATGAGGCACTGCTCCCTTAGAGAGTCCTGGCCCTGTTGAGCTCACAGTGACTCTGGAGACAGACTTAAGGAGTATGCTTTGCTAAAGGATGCAACTAACTTTCCTATTGTAACCCAGTGAGAGGACTGTTTTTTCCAGCTAATTTGATTCCCTCGTACCACAGTAGAGGGTATGGGACAGAATCTTATTGCTCGGGTCGTGGACATCGGATGCAAACAGCAAGTTCCTGCAGTGGGCTGGGTGGGAGGTAATAGGGAACAATGTGGACTGGGGCAAACTAGTGCCCTGGCTCCACGCCCCTGCATACCCGGGGCACACAGAAGGCAAGCTGGGGTTCTAGGTCCTCTGCTTATCATGCAGTCAGAAATCTAGATAATTGTGTAGAGTTATTTCGCAACAGATGACAATAAGCTGAAACAGTGTCTGGGACAAAGGAAGCGTGTTGTTGGCAAGGCAGAAGCAGAGAAAATATGCACAGTGCTTGACATTTAATGTGAAAGTTTTTCTGAGGCATCTGCAACTTGACCTTAATTACTCCATATAATAGATGTGTGGGGAAAATATCTAGGGAAGTAAATATTCTGTGATATGGCTGCACTATTTGGTCTAAGATGAAGTTACGTGAGGTATGCTTTTGAACTGTGGTGCTGGGGAAGACTCTTGAGAATCCCTTGGACAGCAGGATGAAACCAGTCAATCCTAAAGGAACTCAACCCTGAATATTCATTGGAAGGACTGATGCTGAAGCTGAAGCACCAATACTTCGGCCACCTGATGAAAAGAGCCTGCTCATTGGAAAAAACCCTGATGCTGGGCAAGATTAAGGGCAGGGGGAGAAGGGGGTGACAGAGAATGAGATGGTTGTATGGCATCGCTGACTCAATGGACAAGAGTTTGCACAAGCTCCAGGAGATAGTGATGGACAGGGGAGCCCGGCATACTGCAGTCCATGGGGTCACAGAGTTGGACACGACTGCGCGACTGAACAATAATGATAAGCCAGAGGAGGAGCAGCTCGCCTGAATGAAGTCTGTGCAGTCTTAGCAGGAGTGACAAGCCATGTGTTGTCGTTATGAACACCATGTGTGGTTTCCCTTGTGGAGCTTGAATCCCTGTCAGTCCAAGAATCCAGATGGAGAGGCCCACGTAGGGCCTGCGCTCCTGGGACTTTCTCGGACTGGGAGCTTCCCTTACAACTGCAGACAGTGGCCACCACAGGGGCCTGAGGTGGTGCTGGACTCAGCCGCCCAGGTGCACTTGCCCTTCACGTCCCTCTTTGGAAGGTTTAGGATCTTGCCTCTGCATCTGCTTTTGACATCTTGGGAAATCACGAATTTCCTACCCAGAAAGGGAAGCGGATCCAATCCTGTCTGCACCATTTTGTTATAATTCACTTTGGGTGTTGACACTGATTTCCCCACAACAGCTGCTGGTGGCCTTCCTGGGGGTCTGGCCTTGGGAGGGGGTTGAGCACAGCATAGCACTTTTTCTAGGGATTTGGTCCTGCGTCTTGTTAGGCGGGAACACCACATGAGGCTAGACTAGCGATCTGAGGGCGCGCTGGTGTTTAGAAACCGTGTGTGATCTCCCAGCCCACCTGAGGGTTGGCGTGTCACCCCCCAGCTCCTGTCCCCCTCTGCAATGCAGGGGCTCCATCAGCCCACAGCCCCACCAGTCAGGACCCCACGGGGGTGGTGGAGATGGAGAATCCCCATCTCAGCGCTGAAGGAACCGAGGCTCGGAGCTGTCTCACATCGTCCAGCTGATGGGGGGAGTGAGAGGAACTGGGAAGTGTGGGCCTGGCTCTGATGCAGCAGCCAGGGCTTAGGGGTGACAGGATGTCAGGGTTAATGTGCCAGCCACTGGGCCGGGCTCCTGTCTGGAAGCCAGTGGTCTGATGCTGGGACCAATGGGTTAAGAGTCGCCGGGTGGGGCAGCTCCCATCTGGTTAGACGGGTTGAGGCTGGCCCAGCCAGCAGCCCGCATCCTGGAGGGGAGGAGCCAGGGCCTCTCGGTGGACCGGCTGCAGGGAGATGGAGGGGCAGCGGACAGTGGAGGCCAAGCCTGCCTCGGGGCCGCGAGCATAAAGGGGAGCTTGGGACTCCCACCTGGGGGTTGCAGAGGGCCAGGCAGCTGGGGGCCCTGGGGGCGGCTGCTGGGGTGAGTATGGGCACGCGGGGATGGGGCGAGTCCCCATCCTGCCCTCAGGAGCTCACTGCCATGGAGATGAAGGCTGAGGGTCTTCAGGCCGGCAGAACTGGGGGAGGGGGTGGTGTGCACAGTCTCCACGGGACGCACTTCTGCACGTCCGTGAGTTCACGGCTAACATGGGGGAGCGCAGCATGTGCCGGCCTCCTCCTGACGATTCCCTTGAGGGAGGCAGCACCCCTGTCTATGGGGGGAGGCTGAGGCACAGAGGTGTCGGGGAGCTCGCCCGGCGGGAGACAGCTGCCGGGTGGCCCTGGGCCCGGCCTCCCGGAGCCGACTACCCTGAATAGTCACCCCCATGCTGTCCTGGGGCTGCTGGGGTGGACCACCGGCAGGAGGAAGTGACTATGTGACTTCTGAACGCAGGGTACCACCTGTGGCCACCTCGCTCAGGGACTCTCCCTCCTGGGCTGCTGGCCCCGGGGGAGGCTGGCCGCTCTGACGTGAGGACCCCCGGGCAGCCGGTGGAGGGGCCTGTGGACAGGGTCGGAGCCTCCCGCCTGCAGCCCCATGAGTGAGTCGGTGAGCGTGTTCCCCAGCCTCGAGGAACCACAACCCCTGCTGATAGTTTAAGCTAGAAAGAGCCCCAGGCTCCCCATTGTCAGGATACACGTGGCGTGTGTCTGTTCTCTTAAGCTGCTAAGTCCTGGGACGGTCGGTTACGCCGCAGTGGATGATTGGAGCACCCAGGTATCAGCTGCCGTGGGTGCGCTGTGCTGGGTCACCTCCCGGAGCCCAAATGAGGGGCCACCTGGATGAAGAGCCTCGAGGGGGAGGGCAGAGCAAGGACAACGGCCATCTGGGACAGGCTACCCGGGAAGGTGCGTCTAAAGGCAGCAAGGTGGGCGGCCTGGGGAGGGGCTCTAGAAGTCACCCCGGAGCAGGAACACAGACACGAGGCTCTTAGCTTCTGCACAGAAGCATCTTTTTGCCAGAGTTTTCCATCAGGCAACACAAAAGCATGAGGGCCGGGTCACTGTGAGAAGATTTCTGTCCCATGGAGCCAGGACCATCTGCAAGCAGAAAGCAGAACTCCTCCGGCGTGGTGGCTGTGATGTTGACAACTCCACGAAGGCATCCCTTCAAAAAGCCAGCTCTAAGGGTTGAATACAGTTAAGTATACACGGAAAAAGCCATCAGTGGTTATTTTTAAAACCACAGGAAGTCGCTCAGAGCCTTTAAAAATCAAACACTAGAATGGTTCTCAGCCTGCCACGCTTGGAAGCTGCCAAGAAGACAGATGCGTCAAGGAGGCACCCTAGCTGAGATGGACCAAAACCAGCTGAGCTGGAGAAAAGCCGTTTCAAATCTAAAGACTTTAGTCCAGTTGTTTCCTGCTGACCCTGCCCTCTCACACGTCCTCCCCAGCCCGAGGAGGAGCTCCATTCAGAGAGCCTGTGCCAGGGGTCTGGCTCGGGACTGGGCTGGGGAACGGTCACCTCGGGGGAAGCGGGTCCTGCAGGGCCCGAGCAGGCTGACTCCAGGGCAGCGGATGAGGCTGGGGTCCGCACCCACTTCACGTCCAGCCTGTGGCCCGGCTGCCTGAGCGTGTCTCACGTGTGTCCAGGCCTCACGGCCTGCACGCGGGCCTCCCTCTGACCTCCACTGCGGGCTTGCTGACGGGCCCCCACGTGGCCCCACGACCGCCTCTTCTCAACGCGGTTGCCGCTGATCCTGCTGAAATACAGGGGTCACATTCCTCTCCTCCTCTGAGGGCTCCCGCCGCCCTCCAGGCCCAGCCCCTGCTCCTGGCCTGTCCCCCCACATCGGCTCTGCCTCTGTGGGGTGCCTGCGGCCCCTGTGAGAGCCTCAGGGCAGCTCATCACTGACTCTTCTAGGTCCCGACAGGCATCCTTATACTCCTTACGGCCCAGCCAAGTTCCACCCCCTCCCGCCTCTGTGCTGTCCCCCCAGCTCCATCCCTCCTGGCGTCCTCCAGCTTGCTCTGACAGTCTGGCTCCTCCTGCTGGGATGGGAGGGACAGGAGGCCCCTGGTCTGACCTGTGCTCTCATCCACAGTGCCATGCCCAGCAAGTAGGAGATTCTCCGCCAATGTGTGTGCCGGGAACTCAGTGCCCAGGCAGCGGAGAGGAGGCCGCGGTTAAGGCAGCAGGAGTGGGATGGGAGAAGGGGACAGGAGGTGAGCCGCAGAGTTCCAGTGTCTGGGATTCCATTCGCAGCTTCATGACTGTGTCACTGACTCAGAAGAGGCTGCAGGCCAAACGGGAGGCAAAGTGTGGGAACACACACCAATCCGGCTCAGGTCCTGACGTTCCTCCTTGTTTAGAATTAATTCCGCACAGACGGGTGCGGAGACTCTGCTCTGATGGGCACCGGTGCCCTGGGATGCGGGTATTATTCCTTGTGCTTCTAAGATGAAGAAACACGTACGTGACAGACGCAGAACTGCAAACTTGAGGAGCAGAAGAGCACGTCTTTAGGATGCATGGAGAGCACAAGTGAAAACGAACCTATCAGAAGTTGTTCTGTGCTCCCAACACACAATGCTCCCAACACAGACCCCGTAAAGTGAATGCCTCGAGGAAAGGTGTCTTTGAGTTAAGACAGTGACAGTTTAACAACGCAGGGGATCGTATTCGAAATTCCAAGTCTAGGAAGCCTGTTGTGTGAGCTTCTAACAGAAGGAATGAAACCCATCCTCGGGGGCTGAGGGGTAGGGGGGGAGTTACTGAATTAAAATCACAAAGCACCAGAGAGTGATGAAAAGACAAGGAACTGAATACTACTGTCCCTGGGGTGATGACCCTTCTGCTTCATGACAGATCACGGAGGTATGAAAGCTGCGTTTCCATCCTGGCAGCACCACCCTGCTTCCTGCAGAAGCCTTTTTATAATTAGCCTTTCATGTGGCGGAATGCTTTTGGCATAACATATTCGTATTTATTGGTCCATAACTGAGAGGGAGAAATCATTTTCAAATCTGAAATTTGTGCTGAGTCTTGACTTCCTGCAGTGAGGTGCAGCCACATATGGTTCTCAAGTGTGCAGAATTCAGAGCTGGGCTGAAATAACAAGTCTTTGTTTTTCTAGGTTTATATTAAAGTAGAAGCAATTGAAATGGGCAGCCTTTATTAAGTAATACACAAATCATTTGTTTTCTGTTAGGGGACAAGATTGATTTTCTTTCCCCTTTTTTTTTTAACAGACTTTTCAAATCAGAAAGCATACCATTTTATAAAACATTTCATGAAACACAAAACTGTGCAAAAAAAAGATGATTTTCAAGTTCTCAAGTGAATTCATTACTGACTAGGCACGTTGGTGAGTTGACTATTCTTAAGCAGTCCATAATTGGAAGAAAAGTTCCTGAAAGAGAGGAAAATGAAATATATTTGTATACATCAAGAGACAAATATTTATACTCTGGTGGCAATGCAGGATTTAGGCAGAGGAAGCAGGCGAGCTGAAATTTAATAGAATGAGAATACTTACAGAAAACAAGGAAAAATAAAATTATAGAAATTAAGGACCTAAAATCTTCGTGTTCAGTAGGCAGATGAATGACTTAAACAGTATGATGATCATCAAAATGCCATCCGTCATGACATTTATGGGTCTGCTTTCAGATGGCCATACTTTTTTCCACATGGAACTTTCAATATTAAAATGTGCGGTGACTTCCCATGGATACACACTTTTCACCTGAAACTCAGCTTTCAGATATATTTTAATTAATATTATTAACACCAAATAATACATTTTGATGTGTTAACTACAACAAAATTGTTGTTCAAAACCCAACCGGCAATCAGAAGGGAACAGAACCGATCCAATCACAGCGGAGATGTGGCCGTCGCCTCGCTTACTCCCCACAGCTCCGGTCACAGATGCCCGCCCTGGGGGCCGTCTCTCTGTTCCCCGTGACCTGGCCTGCCCACCCTCCTGTTCCCCACCATGGCTGCCACACCTCATATTCCAGCAACTGCTTACTTGCCTCAGACCCGTGAGGCTCCTCCCTGCCTCCCAAACCTGCGGCAGCCTGTCACCTCTGACACGAGCTCCTCCTTCGTCTGCTTCAAGATTTCAGCTTATCCTTCAAACCCTCTTTGGTTTCTCTCCTCCTCCTCTGTGGAGCCTTTCCCTCCTCGTCCTTCCTTGACCAGCGCATGTGACCTAGGTCCCTGCACCCCCTTGACCTTCACCTTGCCTGCCAGGACCACACGCAGCACCCGTGTTCTGTGGGACGAACCAGGCTGTTTACTTTAAAAGGGGAAACAGCTAATATGCCTGTGTGCCCAGTCCTGTCCAACTCTTTGTGACCCCATGCACTGTAGCCCGCCAGGCTCCTCTGTCCATGGGCTTTCCCAGGCTACAATACTGGAGTGGGTTGCCATTTCCTGTTCCAGGGGATCTTCTCGACCCAGGGATGGAACCCATGTCTCCTGCGTTGGCAGGTGGATTTTTCACTACTGCACCACCAGGGAAGCCCGAGTGTTAACTGGTATTGCTTAATCAATGCACATTTCCTCGATGGCTTGATGGCTGTGCCCTCTTATAAGTGACAGACTTGCTCCTGACTCGAGGACTTCCTGGGGATGCAGGACCACCCACACATCAATCAGCAGATCAGAATCAGGGGTTCACCCTCGGGTGCTGTCAGCCAGTACTCAGAGTGAAGAGGGGTTTTGGGGGCAGAAGGGGGCAGGGAAACTCTTGAGGAACTGGCAAGCTCTGGACAGCCAGCAAAGAAGGGAGGAAGCGGGGAGCTGGGCAAAGGCAGGGTGGATGGAGGGCCAGCTGGGGCCTGGTTTCCGCGGAGAGGCCGTGGGCCCCTCCAGAACAGGGGTGGCCCCTTCCCCTGGTGCATCCAGGGCTGGCACAGGACCCGGGGCGGGCTGGCCTCAGGCTGATGTCGGCCCATGAAAGGAGGTCCCAGGAGTGAGAGGAGACCGACAGGAGCCTGAGGAAGCGCGATCCATCACCATCTTTACCGTGGATCCTCAGCAATCGCTGCAAGACGCACCCAAGCGCCCAGAGCTGGCCTCGCTCATTCCCACAGGATCCAGCCCCACCACATGCACGTGGGAACAACTGTGAACCCACTTTGCGGAGAGGAGTTTGCTGTGTGCAGGCGCTAACAGCTGTATATTGTAATGGACGGAATAACCCTGAGGGTTCAAATTTCCTTCAGAAAAGCATATTAAGATACATGATTACCTCTATGGGGAGCAATATAGTAATAACTATAGGAAAATGTAATGACTCAATAAATCTATTTTAGAAACTTATTCTACAGATGTGTACGAACGTGCACAAGAACAGAGATGAAAGGCTACACTGTCTCGCACTGTCTCTAATGAGTGCAAAACACTGGAAGCAAACGACTTGTCTGTCAGCAGTTGTTTAAATTATGATGCAGTCATATAAATATTATTCAGCCAATAAAAAGAAAAGCATACCTTTATAATTTAAAGTGATAGAAAAATGAACTCAAAGGTATACTCTAAAGTGAAACAAGGGAGGTAGACAACAGTGTACTGATCTGTATGTAAAAACAGTAATAATCTGTGCAGAAGCAAAGCATATGTTTATCTCTAAAAAACACACAAAAAACCAAGACCAAGAGCTGCTTCTGGGTGTTTCAGGGCAGGGGTGGGAAGTAAGACTAACTTTTCATTGTACACTTTCCCCAAAGTTTTAGATTTTGTACCAAGCACATGTATCACCTATAAAGGGCATGTTTTTGTTTTCCAGCTTCACCTTTCCGATGGAAAAAGCCAGTGGTTACAGAAGTAGACGATCTCATTCCCACTGACAGACTAACAGTGAGGGGTGCTCAGGGTCAGTATTTTAAAATCACAGAGCCATTTGCTCACTGACTCATTTAGTCATCGGCTCCTCCATAAGCACTGTCAGGCCAGGGAGCGGGCTGGGGTCTGGATGCAAAGTCAAATGAGACGTGGTTCCAGGTGGTGCTGGTGAGAAAGACAAACACATGCCGAGTGAGCGGAGACCAGCCCTGCCCTCACGAGGCGTCTGCTCACTTATTCCACACCCTCGACCGAGAGCCTGTTAGGCGCTAAGACTGTGTTAGGGAGTGGATATGGGCAGGTGAGGAAGGGCATGGATCTTGCTGTGGAGGTCAGGTGAGGTTTTACATACGTGTATATGTGAATGACAACATTTAGCAACCTGGCAAATTCTCTTCCGATGGAAGAATGACGCTAACTTGACCCGATGAGGCAGATAAAGTCCTAAGGCACAGTCCTGCACCCAGAGACACGATGCCCCCTGGCTCATTTCAGTCACCAGGTAAATGACAGCTGCTTGTAGACATGGCGCCCATGCTGAGGGTGTCCACGCCCAGGGTAGGGGTGGGGGCTTGAGAGGGAACGACCCCGTGCTGCAGGTTAAGAGCTCCCAGAGCCCTCTGAGGGATTTTGCACCCACGGCACAGGGGGAGACCCTGGGTCAAGGAAGACTTCCGGAGTGGGGAGGCATGTCAGTCTCCCCCCAAAGCTGGACAGACCGGTGCGGGCCAGTTGTACCGAGAGCTAGGGAGAGGGGTGAGGACAAGCAATCTGGGGCAGAGAATGGCTCGGGTCTCACAGCACCCTGAAGGTGAGAGCCCGCAAGGC